ACTTTCCTTCGAAGGAGTTTTATAATGAAGCACTGGAAGATGGACCTGATGTTGAAGATCAGACAAGTCGTGAATGGCACATTTTCCGTTGCTTTGGACCATTTGCCTTCTTTGATATTCAAGAAGGACAGGAGTCCCAGCCTTCAGGAAGTGGATCTTGGGTAAATGTTGACGAAGTTGAGTTTGTCCTCCTCATGTACCATAAATTAGTATCTTCTTACCCACAGCTGAAGTCAAGTTCTCAGCTTGCTATCATATCTCCATATAGTTATCAAGTCAAGCTATTTAAAGAAAGATTTCGGGAAACTTTTGGGGTGGAGTCAGAAAAAGTTGTGGATATCAACACTGTTGATGGTTTCCAGGTAAATATTTTATGGTGCATTTATATTAAATATATTGTTGCCTGGTGAATCATCTAATCTAACCCAAAGGATATTGTGGTATAAAACAAAATCTCTGTTTCTCTTCTCAGGGCCGAGAGAAGGATGTTGCAATTTTTTCATGTGTTAGGGCAAACAAAGATAGAGGCATAGGTTTTGTCTCTGATTTTCGGCGAATGAATGTCGGGATTACGAGAGCAAAGTCTTCTGTATTGGTATGGCTTTTGACTGGGGCTTCTATGGAGAATTAGATTTCTCTATTTCCTTGCTTGATCAGAAATTTGATTGCTTACTTAGGTGGTTGGCTCGGCAGCAGCATTAAGAACTGATGAGCACTGGAAGAACCTTTTGGAAAGTGCTGAGAAGAGGAATCGTTTTTTTAAGGTAAACCTTCTTTTTCTTGAATTACTTGCAACAGCTAATAAGTAGGACAATTCCGGAAGTCAAAAACTATGATTACAACAAAGTTAAAATAACAAAATATTCATTGTAGGTTTCCAAGCCCTTTGTCTCATTTTTTACTGATGAAAATTTGGAGACCATGAATGTAAAGAACAAAGAAGAAGAGGTTGCAGATGGCGGGTTGGCGGCCGAGAACGGAAGTAGTATGCCTTTTGCAAATGTTGCAGATATGGATCAGGGACCACCCACAGAAGAGATGGACTACGGAGGAGATGGAGGAGATGGGGACAACTTTGAAGGTGGATTTGAAGAGGACTAGATACACCCACTCTACTTCTAATGGAAATGAAATCATCACTCTTTTAGTTATTAGGGAATTGGTCCTTAGCCAATCCAAAATTTTGTCCTCTCTTAAGTTATCATCAGTTATGAAGTTAGAAAACATTGAACAGCTTTATTCTTGGAATATGTTATTTTGTTTGGTAATTAATATCAAAGTCTACTTTTACAAAGACCAGTAGAAATAATTAATGATTTTTGTTTTATATTATAGATGTATATATATATATATATATATATCTACATATATTTTAAAATTACATGGGTATATAAGAATATTCCAATATTCTAGAAAGTTTTGTTTAGTTCTTTTCATCGTTTTCTTGTGGGTGTATATATATATACCCATACACCCACTTCGTAATCCTCTCAACTTAAAGCTAATTAGCTACCAAACAAAAATAAGGGATTTAATTATATATCTATTCATAGATACCATACGTATGTCCAAATATAACGACAGAAATATACGTTCATACTCAAAACTCATATTTTTGTAGAAATTAATAAAAAAATATACAGGACAAGATCACGTGAACTCCATACAGCATAACGTCGTCATAAAACGGCACTCATAGGATCTGTTTGAATTACCAAAAGAGCTGCCGTCCAAGTTTGTTT